AGAGCCAAGATTTTTAAGTCATGTATGATTCATTAAATACACACTTACTCATCCTCTGTACAGAGCCTGTTCTCATGACAAATAGCAGCTTTCAGTGCTGCTGACTTCTCGTAAGTACTTTGAGGACAACAGTGAGAATCAAAGCCAGTTTTTGGAGCATTGAGACAACTATTAAATTAATTCTAGAAAACTGCAGCTATCCCCAATCAAAGTAACTATTCACATGGTTTGGGAGCAGAAATCATGGCCATAGCTTATTAATTAACTTAGAACTACCAAAGTCTGTATGGGATTCTATACTGTCAGTGATTTCCTTCTCTGGTTTTCTGTAACAATAATGTTTTTATTTAGCTGATACAATTATCTTACCACCCATAAATCTAAATTATTTGTTCTCAATCATAAACTTTATTTGAACTTTTTTCGTTGTGGCTTTATTTTAAACCAGACTGCACATCATCAAGCCAGATCTGGTAAAGATAACATGTCAGATAACTCATTTTTATTTCGTCCTTCGTGTCAGTGGCATACTAAAGATTATTCCCAACTTCAAAGCTCCTCCTGGAGATTCAAGTATCTTCTATACAGGAATTATTTATTCTAAATTTAATAAAGAGAAATACTGTTTACCCAAACCTGTAGCGTATGCATTTAAAAAGAAATATATCCTGGTAGCAGCTAAAGAAGATGCAGAAAAAGAGGTGAGACAAAGCAAAATTAAAATAAAAACTCTGGTGAGAAAAAGTAATATTGCAAGCAGTGACTGATTTTAGTTGATCTGATTTCCTGGGGACAGAGCTCCTCAGTCTAGAGTCACAATGGACATAGCATTATCACTCAACAACATTTCTTAGCAATATGATCTAAAGATACCAACGTAGTTTGGAAAAATTAATAAATTAAGCTTCCTGGTGAGTGAGACAGGTTAGCTGAACACATTCATTTTATTGGCTCTTTCAGCAGACTTTGGTACAACCAATTCCTTTGCCTTACAGTAGATCCTCAATTTTTTGAATCCCTATTAACAGATGATCAGTTATACGAACCATGTATTTCTCTGAAGGAAAAAAAGTAACAATGACATGATGAAACTCATTCTGATGAACAAGTCAACACCCCTTCACATTGCAATGCCGTCAGTGCACTGGAAATTACTTTGCAGTGGTTCAAAGAACAAAGAAAGTGATATAGACATGTGACTTATGTGCTGCAGCTGCTATAATTTTGTATTGTTCAATTTTATAAACCTTTTCAAATTATGAATTCTTCGATACCCAATCATACGAAAAAATAGGAGCTCTACTGTACCTAGCTAAGACGATTGGATCCACGAAAAAGTGAACCATTTATTCCACTCATCCCTTTTAGGTCAGGAACCTTTTTTGGATTGGGAGCCACTGACCCATAGTTCTAACCCTGGGCTAGTAAATTTTGTGGGGCCTTCCTGGGCTATGGGGTAAGGTTAAAAATTAGAGGTCGAGTGTGTGTGAGAGTGCTGCCAGCAAGCAGGTTGGAGGTGCTGGGTTTGAGGAGGGAGAGAGAGTGGAGGAGTGGGCTGGAGATGGAGAATTTGGGCGGAAGATGCAGGAGCGGGATGGGAATCCAGGGTCTGGGCAGGAAGGAGGGTGCAGGAGTAGGGCGGGGATTCTGGAAGGGAGAGGTGCAGGGTGGGGATACGGGTTCTGGAAGGGAGGGGGTGCAAGAGTGGGGTTGGGCGCAGGGTCTAGGTGGGAGGGGCTGGGGGTTGGGACCCCTATCTGGCGCAGCTTGCAGGGAGGCATGGGTGTCTTAGTGCAATTCTGCAGATTCCTCCAATACACTTCCAAGGGTTTGCCAGAGACTATATACCATATCACAGTAGACTGGTCTCTCTCACCTCTAGGCCCATGGTATCCAACACGCTAGCCACATGGGGCCATTTGGCCGGTTGAGTATGCTAGTTGGCTTGAACAACGTGGCTATTTGGCCAGTTGAGTGTGGATAGTTCGCTATAGCAAGCAGTAGCTACTGCTTCAGAACTGGTTGAACAAGACAGCTCTAAGCTGAACAACTGCAATGTGCTCTATTCTGAGTTCCCAAAGGATACCACTCATAAGCTTCAGTTAGTGATGAACATGGCCACCCATCCTTCCTATGAGCACATAACATGAATCACAGATGCTATCTCCTAATATGTTTCCAAGTGCAGTTCAGGTCTTTAGCCTGATGGTCTTGTTCTAAGATTCACTCCTTGAATTCATCACCAGGATAATAGTGATTGAACAGAATGCTCTAGATGTTTATCCTCAGAGATGAATGTTAACTTGGGTGGCTGGTTAACCAGTAGGAGCTGGAGCAGCTCTTCTCAGAGGAGTGGACATCTCTGGAAATTGGCTCCTGTGATGTCTGTCACAGCCCACATCTGGCCACGGCTTGAAAATGGTGAAAAAATTTAAAAATAAAATAATTTCAGCATTCTTGGCTGGGTGGGCTTTGGTGGCCAGTGTGTGATTCAGGACAGTCAATTTATTAGCTCTTCAGGGATGATGTGTTTGTGCTTCCATTTAATGGTACACAGGTGGGGAACGATGGTGAGGCAGCCCTTACAAATCCTTGCAATAAATGAGTGTGTTTGAGGGAAGTAATAAGAACTAGATTTATGCTGCTGTACATTCACAATAAATGCTCTAAATTTTCAGTACTGTGGATCAGGAAAGCTGGTTTGTTTTAAAATCACATATGCTGGGAAGCCAACAAATTGAAATAATACAATAGGAAACCCCCCTCCCACATACAGGCTACGGCTAGACTGCATCCCTCTGTCAACAGAGGGATGCAAATCAAGCACGTCGAAATTGCTAATGAAGCAGGGATTTAAATATCCTGTGCTTCATTAGCATAAACATGGCTGCCGCTTTTTTTTCAAAACGGAGCTTTCCAAAAAAACGGCAGTCTAGATGCGGATCTGTAGAAAATAAACCTTTTTTTGACAGATCCTGTAAACCTCATTTTTTGAGGAATACAGGATCTGTTGAAAAAGGGTGTATTTTCAACAGATCCGCATCTAGACTGCCTTTTTTTCAAAAAAGCTCCGTTTTGGGAAAAAAGTGGCGGCCATGTTTATGTTAATGAAGCATGGAATATTTAAATCCCTGCTTCATTAGCAATTTCGACACGCCTAATCTACATCTATCTGTCAACAGAGAGGTGTAGTCTAGACACAGCCACAGTGTTGTTTACAGAAAGCAAGTATCCCAATACAGCAGTATTCTACAGCTGTGAGAATAGTCATTAACTGCCTTCTGTGATGCACTGCAAAAAGCAAACTGATCATAGTGATTTTAAAGTTCTAGGAGCAGACACAATGAACGGGGTGGTTACAGTTCAGCCACGCAGATGGGCAGTAACAGTAAAACTGGTTTCAGTCAGGGAATGGTTAACCAGTTAATAGACAAGCCTCACCTGTTTACTGGTTCTGGTTAACCAATAGGGGCTAAAATAGCTCCCTGCCTTCCATGGGCAGGGAGGTGGCTTCAGCCCTGCCGGGCTTGCTAGAGCAGCCCCTGTCCATGGCCCCCTAGCTCCCTATACACTAGCTCCCTGGGAGGCTTTGCTGCAGGCTCTGCAGTATAAAACTCTGTTGAATATAAAGTGGTATGGATGAACCTGAAAGCTTTTAAAATAGTTTTAGAGCAACAGAGTGAAATGCTGAACATGAACTTTTCAAATGTACTGATCTAATTTATGCTTTGCTCTTCACCAGTATATACTCCTTTAGGCTACTTAATGGTTTGTGATTGTTTTTTTTAATCAACTTATCTTTGATAAAAGCTTATTGTATTATACCTAGTCATAAAAGTAACATTATGGAAGTCCATCAACTTAAGCCTAAAACATCTTTAGTGCCACACACAGAGATTAGGATATAGTTGGCAATAAAAAAAGGCAGAGGGGGGAGTGAAGAGGTCCTGCCCCCAGCACAAGGTGACTTTTCAACATAAAGAGATAACTATCTTCTGCCACAAGAGATCCCGAAGTATAAGAAAAGGCAGATAAAACCCAAAATACATCTTACCTCACTGACTGACGGATATTCTAGGACAAAAGAAAGTAGTGCTCTTTAATAAAAGCAAATACAATGATTGAGAAATGATAAATTAAGATGTTATAGGTGGAAAAAACTAATTCCAAAGTGAGTATTTGATTGAATGTATGATCTTTGTACATGGAAGAATACAAAAAAAGCCATACTGTAAAAGTTAACAAGGAAAAAAAAGTCAAGCATTCCTTTCCATGACCGTATCTGACCTGGGCTACAGTATAATGATGAAATCTGAATGCTACCAATTTAAAATAAATTAACACAAATGTGTAAAAGTGGTAGTATTCACCATATTCAATCACCTATCCTAAAAATGAACACAGAGGATTCCAACTTAAGATCAACGATTAAGGGGAACAAAAAGCCAATGCCAAACCGGAAGATAAAACTGCGACAAATAATTTAAAAGTTGATATAAAAAATAAAGCCTACCAACAAAACTTTATGTTTGATTTTGCAAGAGGATTCAAGGCATCTTGTAGCCACTGTTAATTTAAATAAATCATGGATTAAAATCTACTTATGTTCAGTCAAAACATGGGAGATCTGATCAGGTGAAATTAGACAGAGAGGTCACTTTTGTTACTTGTTTAGAAAGTATGTTTAATTCTCAGATAATGTGCTTTCTATCAAATTCTGACTATATAGAACCAGATTCTTAGTGAGTACAAATTGATGTAGCTCCACTTGACTCAAATTAGTTTACCCAATTTACAAAATCTGAGAATCAGACCCATATTTCCCATTATATAGACAAGACTATTCTACTCCTTGATTCATTTTTGTTGCTAGTTTTTATCAAATGTATATTGCTTCACCATCACGACATCTATTCAATAAACTGTAAAAACTTTTTATGCACAACACCACCACTCACTGGTTACAACGGATTTACAAACCTACTTTGCTAAACATTTACCTTTCGTACTGAAGCCAATCGATTCATCATTAAAGATTCTTCTCTGTCATCATCATCATCCAAGTCTAGCATGGGCATGCTAAAGCTATCTATAATACTGCAGCACCTGGAGTTTTCATCCCTTGGATCAAAAGGGTCTACAATTATTGGTTCAGTTCCTTTGATTTCACATCGGCAGAAAGGACAGCCCTGGCCATCGGATTCCTGCACAAAAACAAAAATATTACTTTAGATAGAGGGTCATATTCTTCTTCATGCTAAGGTTCCTTTACCAGGTTCTGGAACTGTGCAAAGAGATCTTGGAACTCAGAAACAGGTCCACAGGTATTTTACTGAGAGAAATAATTCATTCTTATAGTGGCCTTTTAAAAACTATTTTGTTTACATATGTGATTAATGTGGTGATTATTGAAAATGAATTTTGGAAAACTAAACTTAATTCAAGCAACAAAATCAAAACAATTCCCTCAATTGTTATCTTAAAACCACCACCATTATAGTGATCATAAAGCCAAATATAACATTTTGCCTTCTAGACTTACATTTCAATGCTCATTCACAGCTATGCATCAGAAAACCCAAAACAATAGCTCACATGGATGTTTGGTTACATTGTATATAAACACATGAACAAAGGAAGCTTTAGCTCTGCAGGAAATTAGGTCAAGAGCTTTTCATACATATAAGTCATCAACATTTTTTACAAGACATCTCTAAGCAGTATGCCTAGTGTAGTGGTTCTCAAACTGCAGTCCGCGGACCATGCCTTGCAAGTGGGCTGCAACTCAAGCTCCGCCTCCTCTTTCCCCCCCACAGCGGGGAGCCTGTGCTGGCACTCCAGGCTTGCTGGTCCCTGAGCCGCCCCATGACGTTGGAGCACCAGTGCAAGCTTCCTGAGGGAGAGGGAAGAAAGCCCTGAGCCTCATCACTAGATCCATCTCATGGGGAGATCAAATGGCTCTGCAGACTGCCGCTTCTCCCCCTCCTCTACCTCCTGGCTAGGAAAACACCAGTGTATGGACAGTGCATGTGTCTGAAGCAACGCATGGACAGGGCTGAGGCACAGCACTTGGCCCGAGAGTTTGAGCAGCTGGACACCAACGCCATAAGAAGAGTACAGTAAAGGACAATGCAAATCAGAGATGCCTTGAAGGACAGTTGTATGAAGGCCTCTTTTGAGACTCTTCCACATGGCTCTCTACAAGGTGCCCCTGAATTCCCTGTGTTTCCCTTTAATCCCACACCCCACCCCAACCTTGCAGTTCAACCAATAAAGAGACCGTTGTTCAAAGAACAGGAGTTTTTATTTGTGGAAAACAAAAGGAAAAGGAATGAAGTGGGAACCAGAAAGGGGGAGTGGAGCTCAGGAATTCCTGTGGGACTGCCTTCTGCCTCCTGAGGGCCTGGAGGGTCCAGCTCCTAGTGAGTCCCCCATGTCGTGAAGCCCCAGCAGTCCCTGGGATGGAAACAGTTGCACTGAGGGAGGAGGAGTCAGGGTTGTCATCAGGGCAGAGAAGGTGTTCTGGGAGGAGGCTCTCTCCACACACGATGCCAGGCACTCCATTACAGTGGTCAGAGAAGCGAATATGGTCTCCTGCTGCCTCGCCTGCTACTACATGACGGCTCTTCTCCCCTGGCACACTGCGATCTGGTCCAGGCACTGTGCCTGCATCTCCTCCATGAGGGAGTGCACATAGCCCATCTACTCATGGAACGCATCTTCCTTGCCCCTTTTCGCCTGCGGATCTGAGCCAGGTAGGCAGATGTTGTGGGAAGGGAAGTTCGCACCAAGCTGGCTGCAGTCCCAGCTAAAAAGTTACAAGGGCAGACTTTCCAGGAGATACATAGTGTTAAGCCTAACCTTAATCTGTTAGCCTACACTAAATGTCCCTAAAGATAAAGGGGATGTGTTGCATGCAAGGCTAAATGTTTGCTTTAAAGTGGGCACTTTACAGCAGGTTCTCAACTTCCCATTCGGACACACTTGGTCTGGAGGCAGGCAGATATAGTAAGGGGTCACCAGGGCAGGGGAGAGATGGCAGCAGAAGGTGCTTTCTCTACGGGTCCAGCACATGTGGCTTCCTGATACAGTGCTACTTCCCCAGCCAGGGCAGGAATTTACAGGTGGGAAAGGGGGATGGGGCAAGGCAGCTTCCTGCTTGTCCAGCGCACACTAGATCTGGCCCACATGGCTTCCCATGGAGAGCACTAATAGGTTCCCCTCCCCGTTCCTCCAGGTTGCCATACAAGATATCAGTCTTCTCTGAATCATACAGAGTGATCAGGATTGGATACTGACTGACTGTGGCCAGAAGCCTGGGCCTTATGCTGCACGGCTTTGTGGATCAATGACACCAGACCTGGTGGCTCGGCGAGGGAAGGTGTTCTGCTGCAGAGGACAGCATAAGGCTTGCTTCCCCAAAAATGTTGTGAGAAGGATTAAAGAGTTTCTATATGAGAACTTAATAGAACTGTGCAGGCAAGACTCCTGCTCCATCTGCAGACACATTAATAAGCTGTTCCAGGCCCCCCACGCTGTGTAGGCACAGGCTGTGTCACATATCATACTCCATTCCCTTAACCCGCTTGTAGTTAGAAAAAGTTGTAAATTCACCAGAAGCCTCTCCATGGGGTCAGTGCTGATCTGGGAGACATCCTGGGAGAAGGAAACCAGCTCCAGCATCATGACTAGCTACTGGCTCTTGGGGTTTGCTGCTTGGCTAGTCTCCTCCTCCCGCTACCATGCTGTCTTCCATGCTGATGCCAGTTGCGTCTTGGCTGGACTCCATGACCACACTGAGGAAGCTGGCTGCTCCCCAAACTGATGTCCACCTGCTCTTAGTAGTGGCATATGTGAGGTGCTGCACCAGACTGTTTGCTCACCTCCTTCGCCTTGAAGTAGGACTGCTTCAGCTCCTTGATTTTGACTCAGCACTGCTGGGCGACCCTGTAATAGCCTTCAGTCACCAGACAGCTAGCGATCTTGCTATAAATAACCGCATTCCTCTTGCTGGTTTGGAGCTGATGGCTTCATCTCCCCACTCTTTAAAGTTGTCAGTATTTGAAGTTGTCGCAGTGTTGGTGGATTATTCAAGGTCATCTCCAGGTGTGCAATGGTGTGCAGCTTACTCTAAATGTGCTCACAATACTGGCCACACAGGAAAAGCCAATCAACTTTTCCCAGGGCTTTTTGTGCTCACCAGGGAGAGCAGTGGATGTGAAATTTCTGGACAGAGCTGTCAGGACAGTGAACTGCGGGAGGTCTCCTGGAGGCCAATAGCCTCAACTTTCTGGCAATGCTGTGTCTACCCTACTGTAAATGTGACCGTGCAAGGCCAGGAATGGCATTACTCCTCGTGAAAAGCAGGAGTACTTAAATCAACTTCTGCGGTCCTTCAGGTCAACATAACAGCCTTGGTAGTGTGGGCGCATCACTTAGAAAATCAACCATATGCTGCTAAATTCAGTGTAATGTCCTAGTGTAGATCAGGCCCTACAGTCTATCAATGTACCACCTCTCAGGACACGGAAACCAGAGGTCCTGTATCATGTATATAGTACTTTCCCCCTCTACATACACTTCTATTTACAAGCTTAGTGCTGAATGTCACTTCTGTATATGAAGATCCAACCCAATCCAATGCAGCTATGGGAAATAGGCAGGTTACTCACAGACAAAGCAGTTATGTGAAGCAAGCATTTATATTTATCCTTTCATGCTATACTGAAAAAATAAACAAACCGAGACTTTCATTCTTGACCTACTTTTTGAGACAGTACCTTGGGCAGATTTCAATACTACAGCCAGAAACCCTAATCAATAGTTTAAAACCAACTTCATTTCAGGGGATCAAATGGCTGATGTGGCTGGATCTATAATGTATTTCTTTTACTTTTCTAAGCAACTAACATGTTGTAGAGTAGACAAAAAAAAAAGTTTAATTATTATAGGTCGAAACTCTGAAATCCAGAATTCTTGGGTCGGGCAACATCTGCGGTTCGGTGCCTGGGAGTTCCAACCCAATCCATGGGGAGCTCTGGTCAGGTGGGAAGAAATGGGGCCACAGAGCTAGGGAGCTCCATCTCTGGGGAGCCTCAGCTGGGCAGGGCAGCAGCGGGACAGGAAAGCCCCATCCCTGGAGGGGATCCCCGTCCCCAGGGGGGTCCCCAGCTAGACAGAGCAGCAGGGGTACTAGTGTGTGGCAAGAGCAGGGCAACAGGCAAGCCCAGGTCCTGGGAAGCCCCAGCAGGTGGGGCAGCAGCAGGATAGGAGAGCTTCATCCCAGGCAGGGATCCCCAGTCGGACGAAGTAGAAGTGGAGCTGCGGTGGCTGGGGAGTTCCAGCAAGCCAATGCCCAATTCCAAGCCCCACAGGCTGCAACCCAGTGGCAGTGGGACTGGAATGGAGCCAACTGCAGGGAGGGGGAGCGTCCTGGGAGGCTAGTGGCAGGGGACCTCCCCATATCCGGCAAATTCCCTCATTCGGGATGCGTCAGAGTGCTGGAGAAGGGAGATCCAAACTGTACACCATTTTCTCCACTACCTACCAACATCATTCATTTGCACTGTGTATTGTAGACAAAGTATGTGCCCTTCCTAGCCAACAGATGCTTCCGTCATACTAGTCTCTTCACCAAGCGAAACCAATTAGTACAAAGTGTTAACATTATTCACTTACTAAACTGCACATGACCACTCTGATGCAGAATAAGGCTTTTTATGAAAACTTTTAATATTAATATACTGTGCAAAGTAATACATGGCTGTAGTATTTACATAGTTAACATACCAAGCCCCAAGTCAGGAAGATATTTAAGCACAGACCTACCTTAAAGCACGTGGAGTTCTTCAATTGAAACCAATGGTCCTACTCATGTGCTTAAAGTTCAGGGCATACTTACACATCTTCCTGAACAGGGGCCTTAGAAACTCTAAAAATTGAATATATTTCTGAGTGCAATCAATCTGTTATTCCAGAGAAAACCATGCCATAGAACAAAATGGTTTTATTTACAGTAAAAGCCCTTTTATCTGGCACTTCCCTAACCAGCAAGCTCAAGAAACCAGTCTGGTTCGTAGTGTGGTTGGTGCAGGACTGACAGGGGGCTGGGGCTTGCAGAGGATGTGGGGCAGGCTCTGGGAGAAGTCTTGGGTCCATCAGGAGATTGAGGCTGGGAAGGGACTCAGGGTGCCGGATGAGGGGGTGCTCATCTTCGACAGCCCCTACAAGCAGGGCCTCATCCCTGCTGGTGCTGGCAGAGGTGTGGCAAGGTGGCATTCCAAGCATGCTGCCACTCTGTGGCTCTCAGCCCACTAGGCAGAAACCACAGCCAATGGAAGCTGTGGGAGGGCGGCACCTGCAAACAGAGGCAGCATGCCTGCCTGTTTCCAGCAAAGCTGTGGCTCTGCCACGAGCAGCAGAGATGGGGAGCCACTTGCAGGGGCCACCGGAGAGGGAAGCCTAGCACCCCAAGCCCTTCCCATGCCTCAACCCCCTGCTAGACCCAAGAGCTTTCCCAAAGCCTGTGCCCCACACCTCTCCCACCCCACATCCAAACTCTTCCCTCTTACTTAACTGGCATTTTCAATTTACCAGCACTCCGCCAGCCCCCACTCCCACAGTACGGCTGAATAAAAGGACTTTTACTGTAAATGGTAATATTGAGACACATAAATATGATAAACCTCAAAAATAAGTCAGCTAAGGAACCTGCCTTGAAATATAAAGCCTTTTGCCTTTAGAACACTGTTTTCAATCAAACCCAGTCTGTGTTGAATGTAAATTGTCATCTCAGTAACATTTGGTTGCTTTTGTGAAATAAGTTGAAACTAATTACTTCTTACAGGACGTGCAGCCATATAACAAAAGAAACCATCACATTGTTGAGAGTCTGAAAAGAGAAGCCATAAATTGCATGGACCTACAGCAGTAGTAATAATAAAGTCAGCAGAAATCCCTCCTTAGGGCTAGCATCCCTTGAACTGCAATAGCATGGAAGTAGCACTACAGAATAGTGTCTGTGCACACTGAAAGAGCAATGCAAAGAGTCTTTCATTTATCCTACTTGTACTAAACTTGGCTTGTTGGAGGGCTCCATTTTTCACAACTACCAATCTGCCCTCACCTTTTCCAAAACATTAAATCATGTCTCGTAACACAGAAATAAAATTACCATTAGCAGAGCTTTGCATGCTACAATTGTAATGAAAACAAGAAGTAATGTCTACAGACATACACAAACCAAAATATACCTACCCACACATGTACATAGCTGTTATTGCAAAAACTGAATACAGTATGCAGTTCCCACACTATGCATAACAGAAAAGAAAACAATAATTTTCTGGGGAAAAAGAATTGTTAATGATCCTCTTACTGTTGGTCTAAAGTAAAAGTAGTAAGTTAAATTAAAAATTCCAAATAAAAGACTGTTGCAAACTTACTTCCACTATGTCATGTTTAGCATTCTATAAAGATTTGAAGTTGCTTATTCAATTTATTAAATAACACAGATGTTTCACTATGAGGGGGAAAAACTATTGGAAAGCTCTCCTGAGGCATGTTTAATGAGCCATTATGACAGCAATTAAACACTAACCCACTGGCAGCCTGTAACAACTGACATTGCTACAGTATGTTTCTTCATCTTCTCATTAATTATACAGGAGTTAAATCTGCAATGAAGTTTGATTTAATTGAAAATGTAATTGCTAATGGAAGAAAAACCCAGTGCTCATTTCTTTCATTAAGAGTTGCCTTTTGCTAATGATTACACTTTATTTAGGAAACTGAAAAAGACTTCTGATCAAATTTTGAGCCAGAAGAAGCTCCACTAAAGTTAGTAGAGGTAAGCTGGCATAAAACTAATGAAAATGAGGCCAAAATCAGTGCTTCTTTTTCTTCATTATTTGTATTACAGTTGTCACAGGATCGGGGCCTCACTGTGATACACAGTGTACAAACAGACCTGCAAAACAGAGGTGAGACAACCTGCCTGAAGTAGTAATATTGAGAAGATTTATTTTCATAAGAAGCTTCAGGAGAAATCCTAAAGCTCTGATCTGTAATGAGGAAGAATCCTCTCTCTGCATTTTTAAAGGGTTTGCAATGCACTTTCTCTGCAATTTTTTAAATCATCTTGTTTATAAAAATGTGCTGAGCTAAAAGGTGCTAGAGGGTCATGCCCTTTTTCCAACGTATATGTAAGTGGGATCAGGGTAAACTCTATCCTGACATCTGGTGGTGAACTGTGGCAAGTGGTGCAGAGAGACCTCGGGGCTGAGCCCAATTTGCATAGACACACCCACCCTGTCTAGTATGTGCTCACAGCAGCCCAAATGGTCACTTTGGCCACTGTGGGATCCCCCATCTCTCTGTTATTGAGGCAGGTGGGATAAAAGTGTTGTTACCCTGATTATGTAAATCAAGGACAATGGAATGGTGGAACTGTTTATGACAGAGGGATTTGCCATAAACTAAGTAGCACTCGTTAGAGAAGGGGCATGGGTTCCAAACCCAGTCAAGTTGAGAGAGAATGGGGATAAGTCTTTGTATCTGGTGGTGGGGCTTTGTCTGAGGGCCTAAACAATATCAATTGCACTCATGCCTCTCCGAGGAGTCTAGTTGTGAGCTGTGGAGTTAACTTCACTGTGGGCTAGTGGAGCACTAGTGCTAAGGCTCCTCTGTTATGAGCTGAAATCACTGTGTGCTGTGGGGAGCCTGGCGCTGTGCTGCGGACGAGAGCTGAAATCACTGTTGCTGAGGGAAGCCTGGAGCTGTGCTGCTGGGCTACTAGCAGAGCAGCTTGCAAGGGACAACCAGCAAGCGCAGGCAGACAGCAGAGGGGTTTGCTGGGACGACCAGTGAGTGCAGGCGGACAGCAGATGCAGCTGGCGGGGGCGACCTGCGGCTGGTAGGAGCGGCAGCAGACAGCCAGCGAAGCAGCGGCAGGAGCGCCCAGCTGGCAGCCAGGAGCGTGGACTGAGACGGTTGGCGGAGCCGGACAGTGAAGGAGGCTCACTGGACGACAGGCGGAGCCACCACCGGACCACGTAAGGTGCATCGATCCCCACCCCTCCAGGTTGGGATGGGGAAACTCGGCCGAGTGAACTTTTGAACCCTGGGGTGGCACTGACCTGGGGCAGAGACTTTTGGGGTGTTGGACTTTTGGGACTTTGGGGGGATTTGTGCCTGGGGGGAGGGCCTTTGCTCGTGTTTGGTCTGTAAATCCGAGTTGTGGTGTTTCCCCAATTTAATGCAGATGTCGGTTACCTCATGTTATTAAAAGTTTGCTACTATACTGAGGCTCTGTGCTTGCAAGAGGGGAAGAATTGCCTCTTCTGAGGCACCCAGAGGTGTATGTAAGATTTCCCAGGTTACTGGGTGGGGGCTCGAGCCGGTGTTGTATTACCTTGTTGGGAGGAGACCCCTAGATACTGAACCCGGCCCTTGTGCTATTTACTCGGCCTGGCAGAAGGGTTACATATAGATCCTGGAAAGGAGCTGGACAGACTTCTCCTAATTGTGCAAATACAAGCTCTTGTTTTTTGTGGCACTTTCACTTCTGTAAAGCCATTTCTACACTAAATGGAAGACTGCTTCTGCTGTGATCGATCTTCTGAAGTTCAATTTAGTGAGTCTAGTTAAGACTCACTAAATTGAACTTAGAGGACACCCTTGCCAGCTGCCAGTACTCCTGCTTGTGGGAAGAGTAAGGGAAACTGACGGGAGTATTTGGTACTATCGGCCTCCTTCTGCAGAGACGCTGAGGAAATGCGAAACAAGGTACACTGACTCCAGCTACATAATTAACATAGCTGAAGTCGTGTATCTTCATTTGACATTCCCTATGAGTGTAGGCCTGGCCTGAGAATTTCACAGCCTTTCAAGAACTATAATAAAAGACTAGATGTGGGGTTTTGGGAGGCAGGTACAATCCACTGGGAAGGAATTCATTTTTCACAGGCCAATTACTATCAGAAGGTAAAGTGTTTTTACTACCACAATGAGTGCAATTTGGCCCCGTGACTTAGTGGTTAAAAACAGACATAAATGAGGGGACAAAATGTCTTTATAGTGAGCTGATAATTAGGGAACAGTATAAAGAGCTCATGCATCACAAAACTCTATACAGTTAATCATACAACTCCCAGCTTCTGCCTGCCCTCACGTTTCCCTCAGCTCACCTCATAAAAGTGGCTCCGTGGGCAAACCAGAGCCCAGCATTCATCTCCTCACTAGGCCCTGATTTAGCAAAAAAGCGTCCAATTAGCAGCAATCAGCAACTGTAGCCACCAGGTCACAAAGCTCAGATACCTAAGGATTCCTATATAAGCTTTCCTACATGCAAGAATTAAGCCCCAAACTTGTACTGATTTTACCGTTTTAAAAAGGTATCGCTGGCTGTGACCTTACTGAACGCCGGAGAAGGATGAGGTGAAGAGTAAATACACACCGGAAACAGAAAGAGGAATAATAAAGCAATCCATTCTTATGGTCTGCTGGTTAAATTATGACTGTACCTGCCATGCTGTAAGACAAGAAGTGCACATGAGATGTCCACAAGGCTCAATCTTCACATCTTTATCATTCTCTGCACAGATTTTACACAGCTGGAAAGTGGAACCCATTTCACAGTACAATTCATATTGTTCCTGGAAGAAGAGTGAGTCAAGGTTAGTGTTGCTAGTATGATCAATAAAAACTGAAATATGCTCAAATGTTACTTATCACAAGCACTTTATATGGGACTTCCCACCTAGCTTATCTTTCTTTGTAATACATGGCACTATTGTAACAGATCTGATCTATTTTACAGCCATATGGAGGTTATGCACAATCTTTTTTTTTTCTTTTGCTTCTTAAAAGCTTAATACATATTACAAATTCATAACAGCATTTATATAAACATCAAAAATACAGTTTTTGTGTTTCTAAATGAACTTACCTTAATAAATGTATCTACATTATAAAAAGGAGCATTTATTAACTTTATTATCAACTTTTAAGAGAATATGTTACTTTGGAAAATTTGGATGGCAGAATCTAATAAAAGCACCATTAATAAAATCCAGAAATATGCAAAAGTACTGGTCTACCGAGCTCTGTTCCTGGGTTTCAGGTTTTATAGGTATAAGTAGCTTTCAGATTGCTTCAGCTCCATCAACCCACAGCTTGGAGTTTAGGAAGTTGTGACCTTGCTTCTCTATGTATTCAGCTATTACAGGGGGCTTTGCCTTTCTCTATATCAATTTCAATGCAAAGGAAAGGATACCGCCTTCCTTGTTTGTAATTTAGAAGAGGACAAAGAAAAAGAGTCGAGAGGCCACAAAAGAGGATGAATAGGAGGTCAACTAGAAGTTACATAAAAATCACTGTTTTACTGTATTTTATTTTCTGTGTCAATATAGTGCTGGTGAAAACTGCTAGACTGACAGCTAAGAGGAGCCAATTCCTTTATTTACCCACAGAACAGACACAGTATGGTCAATGGGAATGTGAGCTTTCCCAGTCTGCTCCCATATGCCTCAACACATATACTGAGAGACCACCCCATCAGATAATAAAATAAGCTCAGTCTGCACATCCATTCAACCCTTAGCCTCCCTGTAAGAGTGCCAATGAATGCCATCTGCAATGGTGGTTTTGGTGATGTGCTCACCCTGTCTATTGGGCCTGGAGATTGAACTACAGTAAAACTGCATTGGTCCAGCATCCAATGGTCCAGCACTTCTGATGGTCCGGCACCATCTGGAACCCGAAAGTGCACCGGCCAGCCGGACCATTGGAGCTGCTCTGCCCCTGGCTTCCCCAAGTCAGCCGCTGGTCAGTTTCAGCAGCAGCTAAGGGACAAACCCAGCAGCCGCGGGTCAGTTTCAGCAGCGGCTGACTCGGGGACACCTGGGGCAGAGCAGCTGGGGTACTGCCAGGTTGGTCCCCTAGCGCCATGGGGTGCATCCCCCCCACTCCACCCCAGATCCCTCATAGCCCTCCCTTCCAATAGTCCGGCATATTTGATAATCCGGCACCCCCTGGGTCCTAAAGGTGCCGGATTATCGGAAGTTTACTGTATATTTCTCGTATGCTCCTAAACAATACATTGAGGGCACAGATTCAAACGGCATCTACCTCACCCTCCAATCTATTTGGAAGCTCTTTGGGGAAAGATTTCCTTCAATTACTATATATTTTTTCCATGGTAAAATTCCCTTTCCCCTAGTTTCAAGTATCTGCAGGACTGGTGTTGTGCCACTGCTTAGCCATACTACGCATATATTTAGGATTCCTTAGTAAATCATTCCCTCCAGCCCTTTAATAATGTGTTCCTTTCACCTGAATTCCCTCCGGTTTGTCCAGTACTCCCAAGGGAAATAAGACACACACTACGAAATGGCAACTTTCTAATAATATCCCATGTATTTTCTTTCCGTAAACTCTACACAGCTGGATATCCAGACTTCAAAGTGATCATCCAAGCCTTACTTCACTTCCCTGTCCACACATTACAATTACAAAATTATTAAACTTCACAACCTTTCAGCAGATGTCAGAAAATGTTTAGCAGCTGTGAGAATATTTCCTCCTCCCAAAACAAGGTTAAAAATCAAAACTTAAAGACATCTGCATCTTAAGATTTGCCACCCAGTTTTCTCAAATACTTTTTTTTTTTGTCAACCATATAATGTAAAGGCAGTTTTCCCTCTAACATTTTAATACATACATACATATCGCTCTCGGACAGGATACCAAGCAAATAAGAAACAGAATTTATAACATGCAACACACCTGTGTAACTTTTATGTGATCGTGTGGAGTAGGTTCACACAATCCTGTCAGATCAGGATTGTAACTTCGTCCATCTGGGTACAGATAACTGAATGACACAAAATATTATTAATCCTTATATTTCTACAATTTTCATTGTTAAAAAACAAAACCGAAAGTGACAAATATATCTTCTCTCTCCTAAGCCATGTTCCCCAATTTCTTTAGGCAACTGGTTCTTTACCATTAATCAACACGTGAGTTACATACTTGTTTGACCAAAATATTTTGGAGACAAACTTGTCGTCAGGGGAATATGCCTAATCTTCAGTTAGGTATGAATTCTTGTTATATGCACAACTGGTTAAACAGAATTTAACAGTATCAAGGATAATGCTAGTACAATCGTTGGTCATTTTGCAACAGTGTGCGTAGTTGGGCTCTCAGTGATGCCAAAACCATCTGCATGCTTCTTGTTGCTCAGTGTGATACATGAAAAGTGAAAATTCTGCATAATGGAAAATAAATTATAAGGAAAGAACACTGTATTTATGTTCAATGAAAAAAAATCTATATTTAAAATGCATGGGCTTAAACGAAAATAGATAGGTATGTTAAAATGGTATGGTAAGGAAGAAAACTATTTTGATGTTAATTTCTTCTGGCCCACGTAACATAAATTGATGTTGATTATGGTCCAGCTGAGTTTTATACATAAAGCAGAGATTCAATCCCATTGAAAGAGACATTTCATAGTTATTTAAACACAAACAGACATACGCTCCATCTTTAAGGGTCAGTTTAATCTAATATAGGATCGCATATTAAAAGGGATAAACAGTAATCATATGACTACTGCATGGTGCCGAAGTTACGGTTATCCGGGTTTCCTAAATGGGTATTTCTATACCTTAAGATATCTGGGTTTAGCACGCTTATATTTGGGATTATTACAATATTTCTTTAATGTACTCACCCTAAATTCCTCATATGTATGCTCAACCTTAACTCTATTTTTTGTAGTTCTTGTCTAGGCATGTTATAGTAGGAATGATACTATAGTGGCAATGATACCTTCTGTTTTATAACACTGGAATCCTGATGCTTTGTTGAGATAAAACCACTTAGCATTAAAAATTCTAAAATTATTCTTTTAGAAGAGAATTAATTGGATGAAGTAGAGCAGCAACCTCTGATTACTTCTAAAAATAATCCAAAAGTATAACACACACACACACACACCAAGCGTGACTAAGATGCCAGTTTGAGGCACTCACCATATAAGAACCAATGTGCTCCTAGAAAAAAGTTACAATTTTGTACACAACATTTACATTCCTGAGACCTTTATTAAAAGGTCAAACTTCTCAAGGAAATCCTGAAGGTTGGAGGATTCCTTTAGAGAACAGATACGTACATACACGTACACACAATATTAAACCTCTGAACATTTTTGGCGTATAAGGCATAGGTGAAGCTAACAAATATATTTAATATCCATTGCTCAGTATTACACAGGAGCAATAATCAGAACTAAATGCATGATCAATATGCACTTGTAATTTAAACTGTCTCTAATATAAAAGTCACCTCCTTAACCTCATTTTCCTCTGGAATTTCTCTGACATGAAATATGGCTAATTTTGGTTAACTGAATTATCTGTAAAATACTTATTTCAGGTGAGTAAAAGCAATAGTCATGAATTTCCAAATGACTACAAAACAGTCATATTATCTATTATTTCCAATACTTTCAAATATCTCCTGATGCTTTAAATTATGAATTAGCAAAGCAATAAATCAATACTTTATAAAATTAAAATTTGCACTCACAATCCTTCCCGGCCGCCATCAATTAGAGCTTGAAATAAAGGCTTATTGTGAGGTATAGTCTGCAAAATGTTTCCATCACCAGTTACATATCCAATGGCCCATTGTCCCAGTCGAGTACAACTCAGTCTGAAAATGTAGCTGGAGGACAATAAGTTACAAAGTTAGTTCTAATTAAAACACTTGGCAAAACAAATGGAGAGGAAAGGTGATCTTGTGATTAAAGCACTGGTAGGGACTCTGGATTAGAGATGTAAAGGGTTAACTCCTCCACCAGTTACTGGCATGCTTACTAGGTTAACCAGCAAGGGGCTACTCTGGCTAGGCTCAGCATAGTCCAGCCCAAACCAGCCCCCTGGCACAATGCACCAGGCCCGGCCTGAGTAGCCCATAGTGTGGTGGACCCAGCCACACTGGAGTACCCCTCTTCCTACCCCTCCCCCCCGTCACAGGATCACAGTTAACTGGTTAAACATTTTGTTTAACGAGTTAATTTTTTAACTGGGTTTTTACATCCTACTCTGGATGGAGTTTCCACTTCCTGTGTGATCTTGGGTAAACCATATAATTTTGTTGCTGCTCACTGTAAAGTGAGGAGGATAATGGTTCCATTACTCCACTTTCTATATTGTTGTCTACTCAGGTCCCATTCCTGTAAAATCTTATACAAGCAGAACCTCCCTGGTCCCGAAACAGAGGGTTTGAAAGCCCCACCACACTTCCTCAGTCTGGCAACATTCCTGGGCCTGGC